GGTTGGTTTTGTCTGCGCTGAAAACTTCCTTCCAAGATCTTCCTAAATGTCTTGATGACCTTACTCTCCCAAAACTGATGCCGAAACCACTGCACCAAACTAGCCTTTCCTTTGCCATTGTTATTAATAATGTGATTGTACAGTACTTCACCGTCGCACAGGTGATACAATTTCTACGGCAACGCCTGTCTTTTAAGAGTTGACTATAAAGAGAAAATACCGTGTGTCTTATGTTCTCAGTCATCGAGGTCAGAGTTGTCTCAAAGGTGTTTTTTTTCCAAAAGGCAACTGGAGTTCCTTGGTTGTTGTTTTTTCCTTGAAGACGTTCCGCTTCTCGTCTCAGGAGCTTCTTCAGTTCTGACGAAGCTTCTCGGTTGGATGAGAAGCGAAACGTCTTCAAGGGAAAATAACCAAGAAAGTCCGGTTGCCTTTTGGAAAAAAAAACACCTTTGGGAAAGACTGCACGAAAATATTCTAAGGGAGCTTACAATCCCAAAGACTCATATTCTCCCACCTCCAGGTTGATGGCAGGTATGCTACTGGTTCGGACCGGTTCAGCCAAACCGGTAGTAAAAAAACTTCCGATGATCAGCCGAGAAGAGGGGAAAAAAATCCATAAAAAAAAAAAAAAAAAAAAAAAAAAAAAAAAAAAAAAAAAATGTGGCCTTCAACTCCCAGAATTCCTCAGCCAGCTTTGCTTTGCTGGCTGAGGAATTCTGGGAGTTGAAGTCCACAAGTCTTAAAGTTGCCAAGGTTGGACACCCCTGCCTTAGGCAAAGCAAACCACCAAGCCACGCCCACCGAACCGATGGTAAAACAATTTGAATCCCACCCCTGGTTGATGGTACCAGAGAAAACTTTTAACTTTTTAAACTTTTTTAAATGCTGTAAAGTGACAGTTTGTTCCCGACATCTCAAAGAGAGGTTTTTTTTTGTATTTTTTAAAAAATAAATGTCTATTGAATTCTACACAATTAAAAACAACATAAATACAAAACAACACAACAAAACCACAAATACAATCTTTACAATGTCGTGACATTGACTGTTCCAATTGTTGTTAACTATCTACCTATATGTATATGTGTGTGTGTGTGTATATAAACATTTATTTGCTTATATTATTTTTTTATTCTTATTTTCCTATCATCCAACCAATCATACCATTTTTTTCCAGACTGTATACTATTTCTTCCTTTCCCTCTCTTGTAATTCCAACATGAGTTTTACCATTTCTGCACAATCCATAATTTTCTTTATGATCATATAATCGGTGGGAGTACAATCTAATTTCCAACTTTGGATGTAAATTATTCTTGCTGCTGTTAGAATGTGTATTATGATGTATTCAATTTCTTTCTTGAAAGTCCCTCTGATTATCCTTAGCACAAACATCTCAGGTTTCAATCCTATTTGAAATCCAGTAATTTCTTGTAACCATGTTGTGATGACCCGGGACGTGACACAAAAATAACAAAGTCACAAAAGTGGAATAAATTCCCTTGGCCCCAATATCCAATTATCCTTGGCTGGATAACAAACTCTTCAAGAAACAGTCTACGAAGGGCAGAAATGCAGTCAGAACCCAAAGTAAAGATAATTAGAATTTTAAAAAATCAACACAAACCACACTGAAGTAATTAACAAGGCAGGCCAGGATGATAAATTGCAGACTTTCAAAGGATAATGCAGCACCCACCGTTGGGAGGACGCCAATAAGCCTCAACCAAGATAATGCACGCTTTGCTTCCAGCAAGGTTCTGTGCGCAAACATCGTCTTTAAATCCTGATTTCCCAGCTGCAGCTAATGAAGGGAATCAGGGCCCTTTTCTCCACCTTAACCCACGTTGGTCCCTTCTCTGGTCCTCCCTGCGTGCCCTAGGGTGAAGAGGGGGTGGGCCTGGGTCTTCCTCTGAAGGCCCAGCCAGACTGTGCCCTTCCCCCATTTCTTCCATAGCCACCGGAGCCGCACTCCCACTCCCTGTCAGCTGCTCAATCTCCCCCTCAGAATCAGACTCCCAACAAGGACATGACACATGTTCTCATTTTATTCCACTATTCTTTTGCTTTAGGGCAGGACCACCACACGTGAAAGAAGGTACCTTGCTTGTTTTTACACTTCCAGCATTCAGGTTTACAATTTGGGTCAATTTTTGCCAATCTTGCTGGTGCTAGATGCCAAACGATAGAACATTTTATAAAGGTTCCCAATTTGTTCCCGACGGTCTCAAAAAGAGTTTTTTTACGGTGCGGGTGTATGCCACGTGTTTCTCTGCTGCTTCCACTGAGTTGTTTATCTGTGGGAAATCAATCTTCTCGTCTAACAGTAATAACCGTGTAAGGTTTATTTCACAGCGCCTTCTTCCTCAGGAAAAACAAGCCTCGGACGAGGCCTAATCCGAAAAGTTACCTTCCCCTCGACGAATTTGCTCTTTGATCTTGCATTGTTTTACCAATGTTTTTTTTTTTTTTTCCAGGATGATGCACGGTAGTCTTTTCAGGAGGCACCCTCCTTCGTCTCTTCTCTAATGCTGCCCTTTTATTCCTTCAGGCTGCAGATAGAAGAATCCTCCAAGCCGGTCAGCTGGACCATGCAGCTGGACAAGGCCGTCACCACCAATTACAAACCGGTGGCCAATCATCATTACAACGTGAGTTGCGTCTAACCCTTTCCTTCCTCTGCTCCTTCGAGCAACGCTCGATGCCTTTGAAGGGTGTGAAAAGTGGTCATGAGTCACTATTTCCCCCCCAGAATAGAATAGAATAGAATAGAATAGAATAGAATAGAATAGAATAGAATAGAATAGAATGTACAGTAGAGTAGAGTAGAGTAGGGTAGGGTAGGGTTGGGTAGTAGAATAGAACAGGAATAGGAATGGAATGGAGAGTATTGGAATGAAGAATAGAATATAGAATAGAATACAGAATAGGAAATAGAATAGAAAATAAAATACTGGTAGAATAGAATATAGAATAGGAGTAGGAATGGAATGGAATGGAGAGTATTGGAGTGAAGAATAGAATAGAATAGAATTTAGAATAAATACAGAATAGGAAATAGAATAGAATAGAGAATAGAAAATAGAGAATAGAATAGAATTGAATAGGGGATAGAATAGAATAGAAAATAATAGAAAATAGAACAGAATAACAGAATTGGAAGGGACCTTGGAGGTCTTCTAGTCCAACCCCCTGCCTAGGCAGGAAACCCTACAGCTCTTCAGACAAATGGTTATCCAACATCTTCTTAAAAGCTTCCAGTGTTGGAGCCATCCACAACTTCTGGAGGCCAAGTTGCTCCACTGATTCCTTAGTTCTTTTTTTAAGACTAAATGTTCCCTTTTTAAACAGAGTTCAAGCCCCTCCATTCTTATTCCCTTCCTTTGGATTCTTTGCTCTGAACCGCTTCCCGTCAGCCGTCGCTTCCTACTGTGCTTGCCCAAATTCAAAACTGGCCCTAAGGAGAGCTGACAAACCGACTGCACACTCGACACATCCCACCCACAATTAGGACAACCGTTGTTGTGAAGCGCTACTCTCGGAGGTGGGGATGCCTCCTCCTGCCTGTTGGACAGGCCCAGCTTCTCTGGGGACCCCTGCTGCGTGGAATCAGAAGAGAAGACCTGTGGATTTAACCCCATCTGCTTGCTTGGCTACAATCCGCCTGATGAAATTTAGCTTCGGTGGCAACTTATTGGCTATGGGTCAGAGGCAATTCGGAAAAAATGGACCTGGGTTCTAATTGCCACCAATCACTCTGCTCAGATGCGGGCTTCAAAATTTTTTAGAAGTTTTAAACTATTTAGAAAATAGGGAAATATAGATTATTATAATAAAAGATTGGAGCTGATGTTTTGTTTCGTTATTAGAATGTTTTATTTATTTATTTATTTATTTATTTATTTATTTATTTATTTATTTGATTTGATTTGATTTGATTTGATTTGATTTGATTTGCCAATTGTTTGCAAGATAATAAGTATAAATGTATACATAGTTGTGAATACATGAAATGGGTACATATAAGAAAAATAAAAGAATAAGAGAAACAATAGGACAGGGACGGTAGGCACGTTGGTGCGCTTATGCACGCCCCCTACAGACCTCTTAGGAAAGGGGTGAGGTCAATAGTAGACAGTCTAAGGTTAAAGTTTTTGGGGTTTGGGGAAGAAACCACAGAGTCAGGTAGACTATTCCAGACATTGACTACTCTGTTGCTGAAGTCGTATTTCCTGCAATCAAGTTTGGTGCGGTTTACTTTGAGTTTGTATCTATTGTGTGCTCTTGTGTTGTTATGGTTGAAGCTGAAGTATTCATTGACAGGTAGGACATTGCAATGTATGATTTTATATACCATGCTTAAGTCAGACCGAAGACGGCGTAATTCAAGGTTTTCTAGTTCTAGAATTTCAAGTCTGGTGGCATAAGGTATTCTACAACGAGTAGAGGAGTGGAGAACTCTTCTTGTGAAATATTTCTGGACTTTCTCAATTGTGCTAATATCAGATATGTAATGTGGGTTCCAGACTGATGAGCTGTATTCGAGTATTGGTCTAGCAAATGTTTTGTATGCTCTGGTTAGTAGTGTGATATTACCAGAGAAAAAGCTACGTAGGATTAGGTTAACAACTCTTAATGCCTTTTTGGCTATGTAGTTGCAGTGTGCTCTAGCACTTAGATCATTAGAGGTGAGTATTCCAAGGTCCTTTACAGAGCTTGGGTCATCAACAAGATCTTGTTTGTTTTGTTAAACTTTATAAAGGGATAAATGGAATGAATGTGAAAAAAGGAAAACTATGATAAGTTTATTAACTATGTTTAATGAATATATAGAATGTAGTTGAAGTGAATTATGAGGGTTGTTGTAATGAGATTAAGATCAGTGTTTATGATCAACTGAATAGATTATTTTTTCCTTTTGAAATTATAAATCATTTTTATGTAATTGAAGGGGAAAGTACCATGTGGAATCTGACCTAAAAGGTATATATGTTATGTAGTTGTTAGGAGAATATCATCATCATCATCATCATCATCAATAATAATAATAATAATAATAATAATAATAATAATAATAATAATAATAATAATAATAATAATAATAATTTTAGGCAATAATGAAAAGTGAAATGAATATTGGGATTTAAAGGAGAGGTAATAAAAGAATATATAAGCTATAGGGGTGGCACACTCAAATTAGTAATTGTGTCTGCCTTAGTTTTTGGGAAGAAAAATAAGGGGGGAAATTGCGCTTCTGCCTACCAGCATCCATCAGTATTAATCTGGCTAGCGTCCTGTCAGTATGTGAGAGAGTTGAAGGCTGTTTGGAAACTGAAACAGTATTTGCTGTGTGAGAAAGAAGGAGACAGCAAGGAGCCTGGGCGTGGCTTAGCTCAACTGTTCTGTACTAAAGCTGCTTGGTGCTGTGAAAGTAAAACGGAAACTCCTCTCCCCTGCTTGTGTTTTGCCTTTGGAAGAGATTTCTTTCCAGGTGGGAAGGCAGAGTAGAACTCCTTAGCATCAGAGCATTGTTAATAATAATAATAATATAGGAAATTCTAATGCTCTGATGGTCATTTGGAAAAATCCTTTCTTAGTGAGCCCCTACAAGCCAAGAGGAACATATATACGTGCTAAATTTCAAGTTTGTAGGCTTTACGGTTGTGGAGATTTTGTGATGATGCATGAGTGGTATTTTGCTTCTATATATATAGTAGATTGGGGTCCTTGATACTTTCTGAGGTTGGTTGTTTGCTTGCAGACGTCTCATTACCCAACTAGATAACATCATCAGTGCTAGAAGGGAGTGGGGTTTTTGGAGAGGAGGAGGAGGAGGAGAACTGGGGGTTCCTTGGTGCTCTCTGAACTTGGTTCTTTTCTTGCAGACATTTCATGACCCAACTACATAACAACATCAGTGCTACAAGGCTTTGTTAGTGCAAATCCCATTCCTTTCTAGCACTGATGATGTTACCTAGTTGGGTAATGAAACGTTTGCAAAAAAATTACCAAGTTCTCAGAGAGCCAAGGACCCCACAATTCAATCCTGAGATACAAATAGTCTCTTCCGCTGCTACATTAATATTGCTTTGTTGTGTCAAGAATGGTTGTGACTGTCACATGACCGGGTTGAGTTGCTTCATGGGATCCATTCAACCTTTTAAATAAACTCAATCCTATCAAAATATCCTAAAATCCTTCTTTGGGCTACTGTGAAACTGATTATTTCTGGTGTTGTGGTTAAACAACAGTCCCGAACTAGGTTGAAAATATGTATTTTTTTTTCCTTCTTCTTCTTCTTTTGCTCTTTCAATTCATAGATTGTGTACGATAAGAAGAAAAAAGAAGATGGAAAACGAGCCCGGGCTGAAAAACAGCAAGTGCTGGACATGTTATTTTCTGCTTTTGAGAAACACCAGTATTACAACATCAAAGATTTGGTGGATATAACCAAACAGCCAGTGGTAAGTAAATGCTAAAAATAAAAATAAAAACATGAGCTGAAACCACAAATAGCTTTATTGGGTGCAATCCCAGAAAACATACATGAAAAATACCACAGTTTACTAAGGTATATAAGCTGACAGTTGCAAAAACAAATTATGTACAGTGTTGGAAAAGAGGAATCATAGAATTGCATAGAAACCTAGGGCTGGAAGGGACCTCAGAGGTCTTCTAGTCCAACCCCCCTGGCCAGGGCAGGAAACTTTATTCCTTCCCATTTTAGTGAATGTCCAGCCTCTTCTTGAAAGCCTCCAGGGATGGAGCAACCACAGTTCATGGGGACAAGCCATTCCACTGATTGTTCTTGCTGTCAGAAAACTCCTCCTTGGTTCTAGGTTGCACCTCTCCTTGTTAAGCTGAAGAGATATTTTTAAAATGTTCAATTTTCATTTGAAAAGAGGTTCGACCAAGAACTAAGGAGGGATTTTCTGACAGGGAGAACCGTCAACCCATGGAACAGAAGTTGCCTTCAGAAGTTGTAGGAGCTTCATCCCTGGAGGCTTTCAAGAAGAGGCTGGACTGCCATCGGTCAGAAATGGTCTAGGGCCGTCATGGCAAACCTATGGCCTGCATGCTGTCATGCCAGCTCAGCTATGCCACGCATGCGTGCATGCCTCCCACCGGCCAGCTGGTGTTCGGGTCTCCAGGCCACATGGAAGGGTCTGGAGTAGCTGCTTAGGAATCCGTTGCTATATATTGAAATGTTTCTCCCACACCTGTAATCCGTTGCCCTGGAGAAATGAAATCATAGATAATTTACTTTATTTTCTACACCGGCTCTCAGGCTCCCCTCTGGCAACTCATATTCAAACTCCTTCGCCTCCTACAAACTAAGGAGCTACTAATCGTTTTGTTTCTCTGTGACAGATGTTGGTTTTGCTCCTCTCTGTAGGAAAGAAAGAAAAGAGGAAAATATTGACGCAAAGGCCGGGAGTTGGCGTGGGAGGGATTTGACTGGATAGTGTAAATTTTAATGGATTTAATTTTTAAATGGGTAGAGAAAAGGAACGTTAATTTTGAAGGATAAACAGAGACAAAGACTAATAAAGTCTGCTGTATCCTGAGTTCTCCCAATTTTCCACCTGTCTCTCTTTTGACTGACTCTTTGGAAGGACACTGTCATGCCCCTGTCGGAGTCTGAATCCGAGGAGGAAGCTGAGGGAGTGGGAATGTGGCTCCACTGGCTGTGGAGGAAACTGGGGAAGGGCAAAGTCCGGCTGGGCAGAGCAGGGAAGAGGTAGAACAAGAGAGAGGAAGACCCAGGCCCACCCCTCCTCATCCTTGGGCACGGAGGGAGGGAGCAATGTGGGTGGTGTGGCTTACGGGGGAGGAAAGGGCCCTGATTCCCTTCATTAGCCACACCTGGGAAGAGAGTTTAAAAGAGATGCAAGCTGAGTGCAGTGTCTGCTGGGAACAAACGTGAGTTTATATTGTATTGACTTTGGTTATCTGTGTTCCTGGCATCTTCCCAAACGTGTTGAGGTATTGCCGTGCCTTCACATCTGGAATTCTTGCTCCTGCCCTGCCAAACTAATTACTTCAGTTTGGCTTGATTGGATCTTTAAATTACAGTTTTTGTTGACCATGTTTTGGACTTGATTCTCTGCAGCCAACGGCTGTTCCTGGGAGAATTTTTCTCCAGCCCAGAAGGTAACCAGGACATTGGGGGCAAAGTTGGAGCTAATAAAGTGACTTCTACTGATTATCTGGCTGAGTTGCCTTTGTGCCACACAACGGGTCATCACAAACACAAGCCATGGCTTGAGCTCCGTGAATTTTACGCTTTGTGTCATACATGTCGTCTGCAATTGAGCTCAGAATTTATGTTGCTAAGTGGGGAGGAAAAAAAAAATTGGGGTTTTTGTCCCATCTTACAACTTATGACTTATCTTGCCACGTTTGTTAAGTAAATCACTGCCGTTGGGAAGTTAGTCCCCCGGTCGTTAAGCAAATCCGGTTGGGAGGTCGCAAAAGAGGATAGCACGACTGCAGGACGCTGCAACTGTCATAAGTATGAGTCCGTTGCCTGAATTTTGATCATGTGACCGTGGGGATAACTGCAAGGGTCGTAAGAGTGAAAAACGGTCATAAGTTGCTTTTTTTCAGTGCCACTGGAATTTCGGACGGTCAGCAAATGAGCTGGCATAAGTCAAGGACTACCAGTGTGTTGTATCCACAGAACATCTTCAGAAGTTTTTAGGGTCCAGATTTCACCCAGGAATTCACTTGAAGGCAGGGGTCTCCACTCTTGGCCCCTTTAAGACTTGGGGACTTCAACTGCCAGAATTCCTTTGCTGGCTGAGGAATTCTGGGAGTTGAAGTTCACAAATCTTAAAGGGGCCAAGGTTAGTGTGATGACCCAAAGGGGCGTGGCACAAGGGCAATACAGTCACATAAGCAAGAAGTGTCCCTTTAGTACCTCCAACTTTGCCCCCAAAGTCCAGGTTACCTTCGGCTGGAGAAAAAACTCTCCCAGGTGGAGGAAATTCAGTCCGAAAACAAAGTACATACAAACTGTAACTAAACTGTAATTAAAAATCCACACAAACCACCGGCTGCAGCAATTAACTTGACAGGGCAGGAGAAGGAATTGCAGACTTGAAAGGCCAACAAAATACACACAGTTAGTAAGATGCCAGGAACCCAGATTTAGCCTCGAGAAACAAAGATAACTCACGATTTGCTTCCAACAAGTTGCTGTGTGCAACCTCCCTTTTTAAACACTGTGTTCCCAGCTGCAACTAATGAAGGGAATCAGGGCCCTTTCCTCCCCCGTAAGCCACGCAACTCACGTTGCTCCCTTCTCCGTTCCTCCCTGCGTGCCCTAGGATGAAGAGGGTGGTGGGCCTGGGTCTTCCTCCGAATTCCCTCTCCCTTGTTCTCCCTCTTCCCTGCTCTGCCCAGACGGACTTTGCCCTTCCCCCAGTTTCCTCCACAGCCAACGGAGCCCCACTCCCGCTCCCTGTCAGCTGTTCGTCTTCCTCTTCTGAGTCAGATTCTGACGGGGCATGACAGTTGGAGACCCCTGTTTTAAGGTGTGGCTGGGGTGTCAGCAATGCTTGATGTTTTCCATAGGGTTATGTGAGACAAGACAAGCGGTTAGCAAAGTTGAGACCCTCTCGAGGCTAAAAAAACGTGCCTGTGGAACTACCAACCACTGGAGATATATAGCTTTTTTCTGCTACAACTCTCCACAATGCACTCCTTCCTCCCTTCTGTTTGGCTTCTGGAGTTGAGAATATTCCTTGATCTGCTTTGGGCAGAGTTCATCACTTTTAATATCTGTAGTAACCGATGAAGGATCCTAAGAACTTAGGCGGGATGAAGGCAACAGTGACTGCTGCTGAAGTTGTATTGCCGTGGTGTAGCCTTGGGGAATGTTGGTTAGGGCCCTTAAGGGCCTCCTCCGACTTCGGTTCTTCCTCCCTGAGCTGCCTTGTCTGGAATTGCCATCCTAACATCTCAGAGTTTGTGATAGGAACCCCTGTGAGACCATCTTTCC